TTTTTGGGACAGAGAGAGACAGAGCATGAACGGGGGAGGAGCAGAGAGAGAGGGAGACACAGAATCGGAAACAGGCTCCAGGCTCCGTGCCATCAGCCCAGAGCCTGACGCGGGGCTCGAACTCCCGGACCGCGAGATCGTGACCTGGCTGAAGTCGGACACTTAACCGACTGCGCCACCCAGGCGCCCCTAATGTTTATTTTTAAGAGAGACAGCGTGCAAGCAGGGGAGGGGCAGAGGGAGAGGGAGACACAGAATCCGAAGCAGGCTCCAGGCTCCGAGCCGTCAGCACAGAGCCCGACGTGGGGCTTGAACCCACGAATGGTGAGATCATGACCTGAACTGCAGTTGGACGCTGAACCAACTGAGTCACCCAGGCGCCCCCCCCCACTATACTCTTAAATTAATTAAAGGACTTAAATTAGTAAGGACCTTAAAGAGCTTTGTTTATCAGTTATAGCTATCAATGTTTACCAACTAGAAATTAAAATAGAATTATTTGAAATATGTTAATTTATTCATTTTAAAGTAATAGTAAGAAACCTATTACAGATTCATGTTTTCTAAAAATAACTACTTCCCAAGCAGAAATGTAGCGAGAAAAGTAGCATTGTGTGCAAATCTCTTTAACGTTTGGCTTAATATAAGGTTAACTGGATTGTCGGATCTGCTTCTGCATTAAGACTCTTGGTAATCACATCCATGTGATCTCTGGAAACTCCACTGCATACCCATCAAAGAATGAGAGTAAAAAATTAGTTTTGTCATGAAAACAGTTTTGACCTCCTAGATCTCCGGGAAGGGTCTCAGGGACTCCCCAGAGATCCTGACTATGCCTGATCACATGCTCTAGGTGTTTCAGAACACATGGCCTTGTGTGGTGAAGCACTTACTGGACTGGAACAAGGTAACCTGGTCCAGGCCCAACCTGCCATCTGGTGGTGTCAGGATCTTGGATAAGCCACCGTCAGTTTCCCATTTGTTACCTGTAAAATGAAGGGGCAGGATGATCCTTAGAGTTCCTTCTGGTGCTAGTTTCGTAGGATTCCTTAATTCTGCGTTTCAGTGGTGTGGAAACCTGTTTTTAAAATTTCTTACGAGCACTGAAATTTGCCCAAGCTTGCACTGTTGGGGCAGGGCAGTCCTGGTATCTCTGGGTATATATTTCCTGGCAGTGGTGCTTACTGGTTCCCTACTGATTCCTTACCGAGAGAGTCTGGGGGTGCAAAAAGGAATGAGAATCGGGCCCTGGTTCAGTGTCAGATGTGAAAACAAGTGGGGTGAGCTACCCAATAGGGGTTACAGTTGGTGTTGATGGGAATACACAGACATCTGTGTTCAAAATGCTGCCGTGGTTTGCTTTGGTACCGATGCTGGATCATGTCCTTTTCTAAACCGACGGCATTTCCCCCCATTTGGAGGCCTGGGCTCCATTACTATTCTGAATGAATGCTGAGTTTCCTCTTTACTGCTACTGTGTGGTACAAAACCTGAGATTATTTGTTTGGCTGAAGGGCAGAAACTCCCAGTTCTCTGGTGTTTGTCCACTACGGGTGAATACGGGCAAGTAGGTGGTATATCTAAAGTGTCAATAATTCAGTTGATAATTTAACAGAAAGGAATTTCAAATTGGTTTTGTCTTGAGTCAATTTGGGGGAGATTTAAAGTGTTGAGTCCCACAGCACTGAAGGCAAGTAAAAGTTTTTATCTGCAAAACTGTGATTATTTGCATTATTGTTGGACTTGAACCAAAACTTCATGCCAAGACTGCCTGCCATACCCTGTCACCTCTTTTCTACTAAACTTTGAAATGACTTAAGATTCCGGTTATGTGTTTAATACAGATACTGTTAGTCCTTCCCTAAATTCCTGGTCACTTTTTAGGGAAAAATGTTTCTTTTGAGTCTGACTTCAGTCTTCAGTGATTAATCTTCCAGTGTTAGATTCAAGGTATTCTTTTGCAATAGTGTGCACAGTTAGAGACCTCCAAACAGCGGGTCCATGAGCACTAAGTTCCTCTCCAATTCTAGAAGCCTCAGACCCTCATTTGGTAGATGTGAAAAGAAGTCCAAAGAACTAACATGACTTGCGAAAAGACCTCGGCGGCAGGTACTTGAGACTTCCCTGAGATAGATCTTCCCACTTAGATGAGAATTACTTGCTTCAATAAGATGTATGCTTTTTTTTTTTTTTTTTGGAATGACCTAATAAAGGCTAAGATCCTTTGAATTGATACCAGTCTAGAAGATTATTAATTTCTGATTGCTCTGAGAATACTCCTCTTCTCAGGAGAAGTAGGGAAACTAAGCAGAATTTCTTTTTTGTTTTCATTAGGTGTCCCCTGCACATACAAGAAAGAACCTGTTTGTATATCGAATGGGAATAAGATATGGACACTGAAGTTCTCTCACAATATTTCAAACAAGACTCCACTTGTCCTCCTCCATGGTTTTGGAGGAGGTCTTGGACTCTGGGCACTGAATTATGGAGATCTTTGCAACGATAGACCCATCTATGCCTTTGACCTGTTGGGCTTTGGACGAAGTAGCAGGCCCAGGTTTGACAGTGATGCGGAAGAAGTGGAGAATCAGTTTGTGGAATCCATCGAAGAGTGGAGACGTGCCCTGGGATTGGACAAAATGATCTTGCTTGGACACAACCTGGGTGGGTTCTTGGCTGCTGCTTACTCACTGAAGTACCCCTCAAGGTAAGTGATGGTGACAGGAGAGAGACAGCCACTGCTGGTCTCTGCTAGCCTGTCTTTGGTGGTTGTTGGTGTTTGAGCCTTTCAAGACAGATTCTCTTACAGGATCCTTGAGACCAAATAGGCACAACCAATGGCCAGTTTAGTGGCTGAAATAATGATGTCAGTGTTTTCTTGTTACACTTGCTAAACATTGGTAGAAGGCTTCAGGAAAGGACTTTCTGTTTGCCAAACTTGAGAGTGTCTACAATTGAAACCACAAGTAAGAATTGTTTCAGTGGTGGGGTGCCTGGGTGGCTCAGTTGGTTAAAGTGTCCAACTCTTGATTTTGGCTCAGGTCATGATTGCATGGTTTGTGAGTTCAAAGTCCCACATCAGGCTGTGCACTGTAGTGCAGAGCCTGCTTGGGATTCTTTGTTTCCCTCTCTCTCTGCCCCTCCCCTGCTCATGATCTCATGGTCGGTCTCTCTCTCTCTCTCTCTCTCTCTCTCAAAAATAAGTAAATAAACGTTAAAAAAAAAAAAAGAATTGTTTTAGTGGTATTGTTTGTTGTTATTGTTATCATTAGATCTCTGGGCCCAACAGGCTTTTACTAACCTTTTTCAGGTTATAATAAAGTGTAACAGGAACCCAAAGGTGAGAAATTAGAAGTCCTGGGGACCAATGTTATTTTTTGGCTTAGAGCAAATCCTTCAGCCTGGAAGCTTCAGTTTTCTCACCTGTAAACTACAGAAAATATATCCGCATAGTGTATCTGACAGGGTTTTTATTATCTGTGCCCTACCTTTATTGTTACAGATTTATTTTTCAGAGTCATTTTGAATTAATGACTTGAAGTTTGCTTCAGAATCTTTGTACTTCTGCTTTCTTTGTTTACCTTATTTTCTTGTGCTATTTCCTATTTGTTTCAGCTCTGAGTGAAGGTCACATTTGAGTGCTAAGAAAATAGAAGAAAAGCTTTTTTTTTTCCTTATCATTCGGAAAGAGACAAAAAAAAAATCAACATTTTTATGTTGCCAGTGCATTTTCTCATTAGACTAATTTTTAAATCCAGAATTGCAGCCAACTTTGACAGTGAGGTCTGTGAATGAAACCTAGGATGATGGTCGTTTGTTTTCAGATGGCATGCACGCATCTCTGAGGCCGCCCCGTCACGTGACGTCAGGTGTGCTGTCAACACTTGGAAGCGTGGGGCAGCAGCCCTGCGTCCCTGAGGTTTTCTTCCCTCAAACAGTGGCTTTTGCTGTACACGTTCTTTGTCTCAACTTCAGCTCTAATACTTTCCCCCCTTTGGAGAGTTTGTAGTCCTGGGTGTGCTAGCCGGTTGTAGTCTTGTCAAATGACAGACCCCTTCTTCCAAAAAAATCCAGCAAATTTTCTGTTTCTAGTTGGCTTTTGGAATTTACTATCTTCTACTGTGTCCTACTCATAGTGGAAAGTAAGAGAAGGAATTGGATACTTTTCAGGTAAAAGATAACGGGGCTCTCTGCAGGGGGGCTGGGCTTCCTTTGTTTCTTCTCAGGGGTTTATTATGTTTCTCTCGTGGTATTTATTCTTTGGCGATGTGATACAGGACTATGTGGGATAGACCCTGGCCGTGAATCCTGGCCCTCCATGGCTATTTACTATTTAGGTCGGTCGGTGAGAGTTTCATTTGCAGTTACGAAGTACTCTGAAGAAATCAGTGATTCAAAAGAGAACGAGCACTTGTTTTTATTTGTTTATTTATTTAAATTTTAATTAGTTAACATACAGTGAAATACTGGTTTCAGGGATAGACTTCAGTGATTCTTCACTTACATGCAACACCCAGTGAAGAATGAGCACCTTAAAACTTTCTATGAAAGAGAACAGCAACATACTTTGAATGACATGGTGGGCAGCACAAGTCTCTGAAAGCAAGCCAGTGGTTCCTGCAGGGGGCTGCATTTTAGAAAATGCGTTTTGAATGCTTGTGCCTAATGCTAGAAATAAAACTAAAGAAATGTGTCAGGACCGAGAACCACCAAGAGAATGCTTGAAATAATTAGCATGTTGAAATCGAGCGATTGCTACCCAGTATTTGAGAAGAAGTCTATAGACCATGTTGGCTATTCAAGCCTATATTCTTACCTGTATAACTTACATTATTAAACACAGGTTAATTTCAAAATAGTGAGGTCCTCTGGATTTTCAGGTATCCCAAATCATGCATGACATTTAGTCAGACCACTGTGGTTGGGCACATGGTGGTGCCCAGTGTTAAGTTCATGAAACAAGGAGGCCATCAGACTGAGGTGGCTGTAATGCTCTCGTGGCCTACATAAGCAAATTAAAATCTAAGCCTGTAATTGCCTCAAGGTTATGAAATTGAAACCTAAAAACAACCAATCACAAATAGCCAACTTAGTTTTAACCTACAGCCAGTCAGATAATTTACTCTCTTTGCTTCCACACATTCTCTACGTTAAGTCTTTGCCCCGCTCCTTTTGCTGGAGCATATCTAACCACTCACTGCCACATTCAAATTTTTGCTCAAATAAACTCTGGACATTTTCAATATGACTGCTTTATCTTTTAACAGTATTAACTGAGTATGGAACTACCTACTCTCAATGTCTCTTACCCAGCTTTCACTTGATCCAGCTCTTTGAAAAGATTTTCATTTTTTTTAGAGCAGTTTTAGGTTTACAAACCACATTGAGAGGGAGGTACAGACATTTCCTGTATAATTCCCGCCTCTACACTACACATAGCCTTTCCCACAGGTACCATTTATATTGTGCTGTCATGAGATTAAATCTTTGAGGGCCACCCTGGTGCCTCAGTCGGTTGAGCATCCAACTTTGGCTCAAGTCATGATCTCACGATGTGAGCCAATGATTTGAGCCCCATATTGGCTCACTGCCGTCAGCGCAGAGCCCGGTCTGGCTATTCTGTCCCCCTCTCTCTCGGCCCCTCCCCTGTGTTCTCATGTTCTCTCTCTCTCTTCGCTCGCTCTCTCTCAAAAATGAATAAACATTAAAATATATAAATCTTTGCTTTTCAGAAAGATTTTGCAGGGAGGGGGTTGAGAAGAAGGAAAAAATGATCTACTTGAGATCAGATGAGATGCACTTAATTTCCTTCACTCACTGTGCATCTTTTCTTGTGTCTCTGTTTTTTCTCCTAATGGACTCTGAGAGAGTTACCTTTTTCTTTGTTTCCTCCAGTATAACAAATACGATCTTTCTTTTTCTTTCTGAAGTAAAACAATTTTTTCTACGCATGCAGGAACAAACCCAAAGACAACAGTCCATACCTATTTCTGTTCTCATCTTTTATGGGTGGCCCCATTCTTCCTTTTTTATTTTTATAGGGCAGTTTGAGGTACAGAATGAAAGTGCATAGTTCACTAGTTTAATGTACTTGTTTAGGAGGCGTTCTTTTGCTAGAGAACAGATAAAACCCGATCCATTTTTTTTCCTAATTTTTATTCATTCGGTCAACATAAGATGCTTCATGTCTATGAGCAGCAGAGTGTCTCTGTCCATAAAAGTTGTTTTGTGGCCTAACTTGTGGTGGCAGTCACGTATTTTCCCAATTCTTAATACTGGTTGAGAACTGAGCGTTCAGCAGTTGTGATGCTTTATGTAGAAAAGCACCTGGATGATTCCTCCATTGAAATATTGGTAATGAATGAAATACTTAAACACAACCAACCTGCTGGAATATAATGTTAAAAGAATGTTTTTATATAAGTTTTTTTATGTTTATTTTTGAAAGAGAGAGACAGAGCATGAGCTGGCGAGGGGCGGAGAGAGAGGGAGACTAAAGCAGGCTCCAGGCTCTGAGCCGTCAGCACAGAGCCCGACGCGGGGCTTGAACCCAAATACCGCGAGATCACGACCTGAGCTGAAGTCGGATGCTTAGCCGACTGAGCCACCCAGGCGCCCCTAACGAATGTTGAGAGACTGTATGTGTTTAGAAGGCTTAAGATGTGCTGGAGAAGAGATACAACTTAACCTGCTGAGCGGTGTGAAGGGGGTGGGCAGGTCCGTGGGAGCTCTGGAGGAGAACCTGGCCCAGTATGACACCTGAAGAAGCGCAGTGTAAGCTGAGGTTGAGTCTCAGGGGGAGAGCATTCTAGGCAGTGGGGAAAGAAATTGCTAGGTGGACAGCTTGGACCCTTCTGGAAAGGCCATGTGGCTGGTGAGCAGAGGGGTTACAAACCAGTTTGTAGGTTTCTTTAAACGGGGGCACAATTACTATGTCCCATCCCCCAAATGACCTTCGTTCATCTCGGTTCACTTACCACGATGTGTATGAGAGATGCCATCGTAGTTTCATTTGTAGGTTAATGTGCTGTGTCACAAACAGTAGGGCCACTCGCGGCGTGAGGCGTCATGGGCTGCCATCCCACTACCTTCCTCTTCAGGCTGTGTGATCCCCCGTAAGGTGGGCATGGGAGAGAGCCGAGTGAGCCAAGCGCACTACGCCATAAACACCTTGTCATAAACTACGGAAGAGGCCCGTGTGGAAACTTACTGATTTAGGAAGTGTTTGGCCAAGAGAATACAGTAGAATGGGTTACGACTGGTCCTTTCTTCTGCACGGAATGACTTTCAGGTCTTGGGACCTGCAGCCTTGCCTGGCTCCATCTCCTGACGGTACAGAGATGGGCTGAGCATTCTCCTGCCAGCCCCACTTGAGAAGAAAGGCTCCTCTACTTGGCCTGAAGTCGGGGTCTTTCGTGCATTGTTCTCGGAGCTGCTGCCTTGTCCCTCAGAGGCGGAGCCGGCGGGAAATGCCTTGGGGCTAGCCTTGGGGCCGAGGGTTCTTCCTCTGGCTTTCCCTGCTCCTTTCCTTCTTCTGTAAGTGGGTCCTTTGGTTCCCTTGTGCTCTTTGGTTCTAGGCCTGATTGTCTTCTTGTATCATTTCTGGCTGGTGGCTGACCTTAAAGCCCATGAGAGTCAGGTTTATATAAAATACCCTTGTTGGCATTCAGACCCCCTCCTCCCCGCCTGTTGGAGCAGAGGTCATCCCCTGCTCTGCCCTTGGGCTGTAATGTGCTCACCATCTTCAAATTCAAGACCTACTCCGGTGACCGATTTGAAGAATGCCTCTTCAAGCGTTTCGAAACGGATAGGCTCTTCTCTCCTTCCTGCTCTGCCAGTTCTTTTTCCTGTCGTTTGAATCAGTCTCTCTTTCTTGGTGAAGAAGTCTGATAGCGTGACTCATGTATGCCGTCTTGCTAGACTCATTCCTTAATCCTGGATGTGAGCCAACAATCCCGTCAGGCCGTCCTCTGTGGACTGTCAGAGGGTTGGGTCGACATTACTGTAAGTTTAGATACACATTTAAACCAAATAACTTCTGTCAGGCAAGGAGGTAATCTTGTCACCAGCTGAGCTGGTGAGAAGGTAGCCTGGGAACTTGGACTGCTGCGAGGTTGTAATAACCTGTGGTCAGGCTTTCTTGAAGACTCAAAGTTCGGTGCCTCACGGCACACGTGGTTCTGGCCACTGACTTCTCACGCCCCCTACAAAAAGTCTTCTCTAGTAGCCTTCCCAGTTTTGCCGCTATAACTGGATAACATTTCCTGGACATTTATTAACAGCCGCAACCTAAGTGCTCTGATGGTCTGTCTCATTTAAAAGTCTTCTAACCAGAAATAAGCAAGTTCTTTTCTGAGGCTTTTTACATCGAGTGGAGGCAGATGATACATAACTCCAGGTTAGACGTTTTGGCAGCGCTTTTAAAAAGTTGTTTTCCAACTTTTTTGACAATACTCTCTCGCTAAGAATTATGTGTGTGTCTGAGATAAAAGTTCCATGGAATGGTATCACACTTGTTAAATATTTTTCTGTTCCAAACTACAATTAAAAAGAGCAGCTGGCTCACTCCCACTAATGGGTAGTGGCCTGCAAGGCTCATCTAAGAAATAATAGTGACCAAAACAATCCAGACTTGCACTAAGTGCTGTGCTTACTTTATGAGTATACTTAGTAAAGTTTCTATATACTTACATGCTTTCCTTTCTGAGTGGAAACGTGCAACAACCTGATACTCCAAATGTTTGCTGAGCGTCTGCCGTGTGCTAAGCACCATGCTCGGCTGAAGACACAAGACTGAACAATTGATGGGTCAATTCACTCCCTTCAAAAAAAAAAAAGTTGGCCTTCTCTAGTGTGTGTACTTTGCATAATTTGTTAAACTGGCATTTTTATCTAGGGATGCTATTTTGAAGATCTGTATGAAACCAGGAAGCCAAAACTAAGGCAGAAACCAGGCAGTCACTTAGCTAGAGATAGACCGGACCTGACCTCCCTCACGGTTTCCTTCGTCCTCCCCCTTCTTGGGTCAGCAGATCAGTACGAGCCTAGAAGAGACGGGGCAGGACCCCCAAAGAAATTCATAACAAAGTTTAATTTACCTTAAAGTTTTTAAGGTAAAATATGTGTTAACAAAGAGTTCATCTTTCTCTTCAGGAGCCAAGTCACAGTGAATACTACGAGCTATTTCCTAATGGGAATCTCTGCTGCTTTCAACTGGGTGACTGTGTCATTGATTCCACTGAAACCTCTGGCATGCCTGCCTCTTCCCGCCCCTCAGGTCTCACTGTGGGCTGTAATAAGGAATTTAGGAGGAAGTCCATTATCAGTTAGCCTCTGCCGTTAAAAAAAAGCAAACAAACTCCTTTTCATCCCCTTCCCATACGCCAGTAGAAGATAGTCTCGTGAAGTATATGGAAATCTCACTTATTACACATCTCCACACAAGATTGGTAGCTACACTCTACACATCTTTTCAGTGCTCTGAAATATAGTATTTCAGGGTTCGGACTGGCCTAGAGTTGATACAAGTTAAGCTTTACCTTTACTGATATGTCATCTTATGTTGCTTGGCCTGTTCTTGGGGGAGAGAGAGAACCTTCTGCCCTATGGCCTGTTGGCACGGATTAGTTTACTGCAATCGGGAAATGGGGGTTTAGCCCTACTTCTGCATTAAGTAGCCGTATGTCCCGGCGCAGGTCACACAGTGCACCTCAGTTTCCTTCTCATCTGTGAGATGAAACATTGGGCTGTGTGTTCTCAAGGGCCCTTGGAGCTCTGTGCTCTGGGTCCGTCCTCTAAAGCTTTGTATTTGAGAAAATGCAGTCAAAGCAAAGGACTCCTTATCAACTCATCCTTCTCTGTGGTGGCAAAAACAATAAAACATTTTACATTGGGAATAATAGCCATCTGTGCCCATGTTCTGGCTTCTTTACCTTTCTGTTTCAGTCATGACTTAGGGAAGGGACGTAGGAATCATTGTCCATTTGTCCTTGGGATGTTTTTGCTGGCATTTGTTGGCTGTTTTGGTTATCGCTAAATATCACGTGAGTCATGAGGACCTTTGTGCCCTGTTCAGGATCTTTATGGCCTATGACACCGGATGCGGGCACGTGGGAGTACTGCTGGGAATTCTGGTCCTCCCTCGTCAGGAGGAGGTTTCATAAGATGGAACAATTAGAGCTGTTAGTGATAGGAAAGGATTTTATGTGAGATGGGGCTGAGAATTTTCTATGTCTTTGGTCATTATAGAAGAAAATTAGGAAAGGGTTAGGAACAGAATCTGTTCTCCGTGTATTGTGATCTCGTGGGTAGGGCAGATGTGCTCATGCTTACCAGACTAGGGGAAATTTCAGCCCATTATCTGTGTTTATGGAAAGTTTATTTAAAAGTCCTTTTGAACCCACCTTAAGTGCTAATTAATGCCTCTTAAATTTTTAGAATGATTGCTTCATAGGAGATCGCTGTTGTTGGTATCTGAAGCTATTTTACGAGGGGAATTTTAATCTTCAGTCATTTCTACGGTGTCAGCCACTGTTGTGATGCTGCTCTTGTTGTAGCCTTTATTATCCACGTTTACCTCCAGGAAAAAGGAAGCCCTCTTCCTCCCGTAAACCTCTCAGCTCCTATCACATCTGAAAGTTTACACGCAATAAGATCACGATGTGACTGGTCAGCCATTAGTCTTGTCTTTAATATGAAAGTTTTTGAGGTGGTTGATTCTACCTTTGCTTTATAAACCATGTTAATTCTTTAGAGTCCTGGGGTGAGATTGCCAAATGAAATTGTTTCTGTTCTTCCTCCCTACAGGGTTAATCATCTCATTTTAGTGGAGCCTTGGGGTTTTCCTGAGCGGCCGGACCTTGCCGATCAAGACAGGCCAATCCCAGTGTGGATCAGAGCCTTGGGAGCAGCACTGACTCCCTTTAACCCTTTGGCTGGCCTCAGGATTGCAGGCCCCTTTGGTGAGTGCTTACATCCGTATCTTAGGAAAGCATTGTGTTTATACGTTGGTAGTAGAGGAGTATTTACTGATCGCCACTGTTGGTCAGAACCTTAAAAACAGACTGAATCTTCTTCTCCTCCTCTGAATTACTAATTTACTAAATTACTTTTTTTCCTCCTTCTCTAAAAAGTACCAGTCCTTTCATAAAGATAATGAAACTGGATCTTCTCAAAGAGGAGATTTATAGATAGGTAGGTAGGTAGATTTATATATATAATATACTGTAAACATTACAGGTAATTAGCAGAACTGAGAAGGCAGGAAACGCTGCAGGTGAGCTAGCCCAGGGCACGAGGAGAAGTGAAGCTTGTTACCTGTTGGTGATATTAGAGAGGCTTCGGCTAGTTGGCAATACGCAGCTGGCAGATCACAAAGCCTGACTTGATTGACCATGGGGCAACTGGGTATGGCCAGATTCCCTTCTTGCCCCATAATGTCAGAGTGTTAAGATAAAATCATCCTTTTCCACCCGAGGTTCTGGGGACTCGTGATCTGTGTTTCTGGTCATATTTTGAAATATAGGGGTTAGTCTCTGATTTAGAGCTGATTCCACCCTCAGCTCCTCTGTCTCCACCCCAAAGCCAAGGGAATTAATTACCTTTCCTCTTTGTCCTCAATGGCGATGGTCTGGACCTCTGCTCCCCTCTCATCGCTTGTATCCGTGAGGAGTGCTGTTAGCCGCAAGTAGCTGAACACCGCAGTGGTCTAAACCACAGGGCCTTTCGTTGTTCCCGTAGCAAGCAAGCTGGAGGCAGGTGGTCAGCATTTGTTGTACTAGCTGGCTCGTTGACGTTGGCCTTGGGGCCTGCAGCTGTGGTTCCTGACCTTTTTTCCTCACGTTGTTTGGCTGCTGTGGCGAAGCCTCATCTCACGAAGCAGCGCTCTGAGCAAGAAGAAAGGAAAGAGTGGAAAATGGCCTTCTCCCCATAATGCTCTTTGTCGGGGAAGAAAGTTTCCTTGGAAGGCCCCAGCAGGCCTCCCCAGATGTCTCTGCCCACCCCTAGTTCTTGCGCTGGCAAAGAACAATACGTATCTGTGGCTGATCGGTCATGATCCGCTGCCAGGGGCTGGAGTGAGGGGCCCACTTACCTGGGCATGTTGCTGCCTAACTCACAGACAAGAGTCGGCTTCTGTCAGCAAGACGAGAAGAGAGGGCTGGGGGAGGGTGTGGAAATAACTGCTGCAGACGTGGCTGTAGGTTCTGCTCCCCTCTTCCTAAGTGTTCGGCCCCTCTTTGCCCTGCGCCCCTCTTTGGGATAGGGAGAACCACGGGACTGCACAGGGTTTGGGTTGGTGACCACAGCAGTCTTCCTCAGCGCTCTGACAGACAGCCTTTGTGCCCCCCCCACAACCCTTTCACCCCCCCCCCCCCCCCCCCCCCCCCCCCCCCCACCGAGTAGTACAGAGCCACTCCTCTTAGGTTAGGTGTCCGGTCCTCCTTTGATGGACTATTCAAAACTGCATTTAGTCTGTACAGCCCTGAAGTACAAGTGGATTACGCTTGATCGCAGTTCCACATGCAGCCAGTGTGGGGAGAGTAAAGTAGGAAAAGAAACCAGGAGACAGTAGTTGGGGAGGGAGGGGGGCTCCTGAGGAGTGGCCCTCTCCCGCCACGCCCTCTGGCTGCCACTGTTGCTTGCACATGGTCGGGGTGGGGGGGTTATGTAGAATGTCGACCACATCATCAGAATTCTCCACCGGGCTGTAGAATTCCTTCAGAGGTGGGAAGGAGGGCCCATGAAGAAGACCTTGCTAGAATAATGGGCAGTGACAGCAGAAAGGGAAACTGGCTAGCCCCTGGGGCCCCGGTAGGGGCAATAGGGACCAGATGGAAGCTTCCGCCCTTCATCCTTTTTCCTCTGGGGGCCTTGGCCCTACCTCTCCCCTCAGGAGTGGATGGCCTTAGCTGGGAGGATTGGAAGTGTCCAAAATCCCGCAGAGACTCGGCTCATTTTTCCACAGAAACACTTCTTTATCCCAGTTTGTTTACTTTATTTAGAGGCTAATGGGTTACAATTGCGGGAGAACTAAAGATTAATAAGTTAACTTGAGCCATGTTTAATGGAATTTATTTTCCTATGAAGACAAGTCTTAGAAAGTTAACTTGTACGTTTTGAGCTCCTGAAACACACCTGTAAGTCAATGTAGAATACTCTTTACTCCTTATTTTAATGCTTAGGGAACCTGAGGAGAGCAGCTACTAGGCCCTGTGCTCTTTTCCACCTAAAATATACACTTAAACACACGTGGCTGTGTCTGCGTGTAACGCCCGTTCTGGGAGCAAACACAAAACCTTTCTCTGGTAGTCGGGCAGTTGACTGTGACTCAGAACGTTCACTCCCTGTTACATAGGCTTAAGTCTCGTGCAGCGTTTAAGGCCTGACTTCAAGCGGAAGTATTCTTCAATGTTTGACGATGACACTGTGACAGAGTACATCTACCACTGCAACGTGCAGACTCCAAGGTACGGGTTAGGGTTCCAGTTTACTGTGTCGGCGTGTGACACGTTTCTTCTTTGAAAGCATGTGAGTAGTCGAGATTTTTATCAGTACTTAAATGGCGGATGCTTGTTAACGTGCTCCCCTGCTCGTGGGGAGTCTGCTGCGCAAAAGTGTCCCGGGTTCCGCTGGGAGATGAGGCAGCAGTGTGTGCTATCTCCCCGCACAGTGTCCTGGGTAAGCCGAGGGGGCCGTGGTCCTGGGCACCTGCAGGAGGGGGTCGGAGGTGGGAGATAAAGCAGCACTGCAGATAAAACCGCGTTTCCGAACCGAGTCTGCATGTTCTACGCGAAAAGGGCTGCCAGATTAAACAAAAGGAGATGGTTGGCGACACCACGGATCTTTTTAGAGACTTTGCTCTGCCAAAGGGCATTCGGTCTCACAAACGCCCGGGAGATGCCCTGCAGCGTGGTTCCAGGTCACGTGATGACAACGCTCCTCTTTTGCTGAGCGCTTTTTTAATGACCCTGGGCCGGCAGGAGCAGCTCTGCTCCAGTGGGTGAGGAATACGTGAGGGCTGGGAGACAGGGAGGGAGTTGTGCAGGCATTTTGTCAGTGAGTAGAAGAGGGGAGACACCACAGGGAGCAAGAGGGCCAAACAAAGGTGTTTCTCTCTCGTTTTTAAATATATGACTTAGCGATGTTAGGTGCAAGGCACCAGTGGACAGAACAGCCTGAAGATAGTGGGGAGCTAGGAGGAGCCTGGAAGACAGGGCCGCGGAGTTGTAGGGAGAGGGTCAAGCACTCGGCAGGCCGAGGAGAGCCCCGGTTCTCCTGCTTCATGGCATAGCAGACTTGCTGGGGGCGGGGCAGGGGGGGGGACCGTCAAAAGTGTGACCCCTGAACTCTGTTTCTAAGACTGATTCGGTGGGCGGGGCTGCATGTTAAATCCTTCAGATGAATCCAGTGTGGGTGGGTCCCGGGCCACACTTCGGAACCTGCAGGTGGTACCCCAGCCTTCCACGGTTCCGACTTGGGTGACGTGCCGAGAGGCCAGGTGGACCGCGCACGCCTGCTTAGTTAAGGGGCGAGGCCGTGGCCACTGCTGTGCTGAAGTCTCGGTCTTGTTAGTAAAGTGGGTTAGAGCTTCTCTGCCAGGAGTGAGGGAGGCTGGGAGGCTTGGGGTCCCGAAGACATTGACGACTTTGTGACTCACTGGGCCGTGGGGTCTGGCGGATTAGGACGGCACCCTGTACGGACTGGTCCAGCAGTTTTTAGCGGCCAGTCCCAGGTACCTCACCTGTTTTCCTGCGTGGTCTCCCTGCTTTCCTGTCCCCCTGCGTTTCGTGACTGCGTGTGCCGGCACGGTGCCAGTTCGCTGTCTTTCTTACGGTGGAACTTGGATTCTTCACAACAGGCAGTTCAGAGTTCTGCCTGGTACTGCAAGGAAGCCGAAGTGACAGCTGAGCGGATCCGTCCTGGGAGTTTGCAGAGTGTGCTGTGTTCTTTTGTGTGACGGGCGGTCAGGTGTGGCCACAAGAGAAGACGCAGGCTCAAGAAAGCAAAGTTTGTTATACTCACAGGACCTAGAAAGGGGTCACTGAATGCCACGAGGCGGGACGGGGAAGCACGAGACTTTGGTCACGTGGCAGAAAACAAGTGTGAAGGGAAAGTGAGGCCAGAACTTTTATTGGGTCCTTCAGGAGAGGCAAGGCCGGCCGCAGCAGACGGTTTAGGACCGGCTAGTGGACCGGCTTCGGTAGGCTCTGAGATCCGGGGCTGGTCTCTCGTTGCCTGGTGCCTGGCCCTGGACGACTGAGGCAGAGGGACGCTGCCTCCTGGGTGGTGGGCAGGACGGAAGAGGCGTGGCACCGGACTGCTAGCTGGCAGGTGACCGGCGTGGTCCCGGGTGAGCCCTTTGCCGTCTCTGAGAATGGGCTGCTCCAGGAGGCGGCCTCTCCCTTGCCAGAAAGGGCTTTTTAAACAGCAAATGTCATGATATGCAGGAGAGAAAAGATGTAAACACACAAGGAATACTCAATCTGCATTTCTTCTCATCTTGGTATCTTTACTATTGCAGGTAAAAAGTTGGTGCCGTGCACGTGTTGGAAAGCTATGTTCTACATTTCAAAATGAGTTACAGTGAAGAAAACATTTTAACTCTCCCCATAGGGAATTTAATAATTTAATGATCGGCAGCTAGGGTTGCGTGTTTCATTTAGAAGAGGGTGACTTTTAATCAGCTAGAGTTGAGAAAATCTTGTTTATCTAACAAAAGCGTGTACCTTCTGTGGGGTTTGTTTCTTACACTTTCTAGTGAGTCATTTTCTGTTTAAACTGAGGCTTTTCTTCGGGAGAGGTTAAATATGAGTGTTTTGATAGAGACGGTGGGAGTGCGATGCATGCTCCTCCCCCGAAGTCACATGTGCGTTGTTTTCCTTTTCCTTAAGTGGTGAGACAGCGTTCAAAAATATGACCATTCCCTACGGATGGGCAAAAAGGCCAATGCTCCAGCGAATTGGCAAAATGCACCCTGACATTCCAGTTTCGGTGATCTATGGCGCCCGATCCTGCATAGATGGCAATTCTGGCACCAGCATCCAGTCCTTGCGGCCACATTCATATGTGAAGACGATAGTAAGTGTGTGGCTCCGTCTGGGCTTCCGCTTCCAGGTGCAGCCTGCTCCGTTGCGTCGGCCTGCGGGGAGATTCCGCATCATCCCCGAGCTTTCAGGGCCTCCGTCAGGACCCGATGCCACGTGTGACGACGGGCAGGGCTTGACGCGCACACCTGTCCAGGCCAGCCTTGCCTGTCCCCAGAGCTGTGGCATCTCCCAAGCGGGAGAAGGACACTCCGGTGGCCCCTGACCAGCTCCCCCCCTCACCAGGCAGCATGTTTTCCCTCGGTTCATTCGATCTGCTGGCGCAGGTCAATTTAGAATGGCTCTTGGTGTAAAATTGTAGTAAGGTCCACTAGATCTTTCCCTTTAGTCTCAGATTCTGTAGTTGATGGAGATACATACAAGTTACTGCAGATCAGTGTTGCTCATCCTCTTACGTTTTGTTTCTGTATGGCTGTTCTCACTTTCATTGCCAGGTGCCTTGTTTATGTCATCGTGTTTTTTTAAATGCTTTTGCTCACCGACCTCCTGACGCCTTCCTTTCTTTCCCAGGCCATTCTCGGGGCGGGGCATTATGTGTATGCAGATCAACCGGAAGACTTCAACCAGAAGGTCAAGGAGATCTGTGAGACTGTCGACTGAGCATACTGGCGGGGACGTGGGGCAGCCTGCGGACTGATTCGGTGCCTCCGCGATAGTGCACAGTCCACCATGCAGAGTAAGGACTACAGCAGAAGACCAAGCGGTCTTCTCGACTGTCCTTCGCACACACTTTCTTTGTGGAGTTGCCTGCACATTTAAATCAGTTAGTGCCTTCTAGAAGAATGGCTTTCCTTTCTCCTACACAAAATCAAAATATTCAAGAGTCTCCAAACCTAATAGCTTTAATAAAAGGTTATCTGTCCCTCTGCTGTACTGACAGATTGTCACTTTTCACTGAAATGTAATTACTTTCTATCTAACTTTGTTGTGTCTAGTACTTTTTATATTTCAGTCTGTGTTGCCAATTAAAAACGTGACTACTGGGTCTATAATTTTATATCCTGGAAAGGTGCACTTTATTTTCTTTGCTTGTATTTACCATGTCTAATGACTGATCTAGGTAATCACAATTTTGTGTAAAAATCGATCAGTTGTTTAGAATCCTCCACTTTGTTTTTGAAATGGAGTGCTGATGAAACAGATTTTGGTTTTAAAAGATGGGAGTTGATCACCAGCATTAATTTCTGTGCTTTTCCTCTGTCCTCTATGTAAGGCTGCAAAGCCATGGTCAACATCTTAAATGTGGCTCATCCGGATGTATCTCAACAACATAATTCCTTGAACTCTTCTATATCTGGTATGATTGTGTACTTACAGGGAAACACGACATTAATACTTAAGTGATTTAAGTACTGCACAGCCCTAACTAGAAGTCTGTCCTTTCTTCCCCGTTAATACTCTTTTCTGTGAGCCAGCTGCAGCAGAAGGAACAGACTTCCTTCTGAGGGGATACTAAGACTGTTACCTTCCGGTAAGCCATCATGCGTTATCATTAACCTCTAACTCTTGTAGATGGGTGCTAAGACGGGATTACGTTTTAACCACTGAAATAGACAAATAGGTGGTGCTCTTATGTCTCAAGGCACCAGAAGGAGATGGCACTAGGTGGTCGGGGTTCTTTGGTTTTCATTTTTGAGGTTTGTGTTGATGAAATGATGCACATACTTGAAGTTATATTATAAAAACTGTACAAGGTTGATGGAACTATTTGACCATAACTACCATCAAGTATAACACTTTGTTGCTGTTTTAAAACGAGGAAAACTTTGAAACTGTGAAAATTACCATGTGGTAACTGGCTGCTGAGAAGACGCTCCAAAAGAGAAAGTGGAATAGGATTGTGAGCAACAAGGCATCTTGGCCTTACGTTCCAGTAACATTGCTTGTCTGGGAGAAAGGTGGTTATATAAATAAAAAACAGTGAACTAGAGCAAAGAAAGGTTTAATGGTTTTGACTGTTACCTTTTTTAAATGGTTAATTAGGAAATCTATAGTTAAGAAACGTAAGGTTGTATCATGTTGATAACTGCCAGAAAGACCGAATGTTCTGTTTTCAACATTACCTTCCCTACTAAGGAAAAGGCAAATTGTACTGAAGCACAACAGATAGTTCCCAGCGAACAGTTTGTCTCACTTGGCACCTAAACTAGGTTACGGCCAAAGGTAACACGAGAGCCCAGGCACGCTGCCCGAGCTCTCTGCCTGATGAACAAAAGTAGTCCGTACTTTGCAGTTAGTGTCTCTGAGGGCTAGCTCCAAACCTTTAAGTGGTACAGATAATTTGGGGACTGTTTTTGCATTTTTGACACGCTCTGCAGTCTCTCTTAATTGGGCAAATGACAGTTTTCACTGGTGCAGGAGGATCTCTGTGAAGGAAACTTGGTCCCAACCCTTGGAGGGAAGCTACTAGTTCACTTAGCAAGTGGAGTTTCTGGCCACGACATGCCAGGTGATTCGGGGGAAAGATGTACCCAGATGTCAGGTGGAACTTATTTTCCTGCTAACTGATTTTGCTTTATTTGAAAAATATTGTCAGACTTCTTAAAAGTTGAATCTTCCCTTAGTTTGTACAACATGTAACCTTGTGAAAATTGAGCGAGCAGAGACGGTCACGGTCCTCAAAATTCCTGAGAATACAGTGGGTGCTAAATGTTTTCTTAAAAAATCCTATTACAGTATTTGATCTTTGCTAAATTATGCACAGTGTACTTTAACTGTATTTTACAGAATAAATTTTACTGTGATAGTTGCACAAAGCTGCTGTATTTTTCTTGGGTTTTTGGTGTGGCCCGGTCTGTTTACACGAGTTACTGTAGGACCATGGATCCAGTGGGTGTGCGGGAAGGAACACTGGTGGGCGTTGGGAGGGAAGGCTGCTGTGCGGGACCCCGACTGCCAAGCACGGCTGTTCCTGGCTTAGTGCCTCCCTTAGTGGGACGTCTGCTTCCTTCTAAAACGAATTTTCAAAACAAAGTTTTCCTAGAGTTGGTTTCAGAATATAATTTAGAAAACACTTTTGAAATGCCTCTGTATATGGGGCACCTGGGTGGCACAGTTGGTTAAGCATCTGACTTCAGCTCAGGTCATGATCTCACGGTTCATGGGTTCGAGCCCCACGCCGGGCTCTGCGCTGACAGCTCGGAGCCTGGAGCCTGCTTCGGATTCTGGATTCTGTGTCTCCCTCTCTCTCTGCCCCTCCCCCACTCATGCTCTGTCTCTCTCTGTCTCAAAAATAAACACTAGAAAAAAAAACAGTGGAGTGAAATGAGAAATGCATAAAGATGCACGAGGTCACAATGATGGTTAAAACACCAAAACTAGGGGCGCCCGGGCCGCTCAGTCGGTTAAGTCTAACTCTTGGTTTCAGCTCAGGTCATGATCTCACAGTTCATGAGTTCGAGCCCCGCGTCAGGCTGTGTGCTGACAGTGCAGAGTCTGCTTGGGATATTCTCTCTCTCCCCCTCTTTGCCCCTCCCCCACTCACTCTCCCTTGCAAAGTAGATAAATATTTAAAAAAAACAAACTATTTGGAGATGACTAGGGCTCCAACCCATTATTTTGAAAATTGCTAACTGGAAAAACAAAGCATTTACCCTGAGCATTTTGTGGATCCACTTGACCTGATAAGGGAAAGTTCTTCACGTGAGAGTCATAGCTAGATGTCAGAGAAATGATAGGATTAAGAAAGCACCATTTTGTCACTTCTAGTGAAATAATGGACCTAGACTGCTGAAAGGTGAAAGGTTGACGGGAAACGTTTTGTTGAATGGCTCGGGTTGATAAATGTGAACCCAGTGATCGATCTGAGTGTTACTAAAAAAGGAACAGCCAGAGGTTAATGCCTCCAATGTGTTGCAATAGCAAGGACCCAACACCGGCGGTGTTGAATTATTGGCCAAAACAAAACTTGAATGTAATCAAGCCTCCACGTCGGAAGATCAGTTCGTAAAGGTGTGGGATATTGAAGAACATGGTCAACACACGAAATCCAGAATGTGGGAAATTCCACAGGACAGATTGATTACCCAGTTTCTTCAACAAATTGCAGGTGTAAAATAAAGACAATGGATGGTTGGACTTAAAGACTAGGAAACATAACTTGTTTGCATCCTGATTTGAACAAAACCATCTTAGACTTTCTTTGAGACAGAAAAATTTAAGATGGCTTGGATATCAGATGATATTAAATAATTATTAATTATGGTGGGTAAAATGATATAGTGACTACATTTGGTTTTTTTTAAGCCCTTATCTATTAGACACACACACTGAAGTCTTTGTGGTCGAATTTATGACTGAAAATACTTAGGAAAAAGAGGGCAGGAAATAAATAAAATGAGCAGAATGTTATGTTGAAGCTGAGTGACAGATATAGAGGGGCTTATATCGGGGGTTATTATTCTGTTCTACTCTGATGCATGCTTAAGAATTTCCATAACAGGAATTT